GCAGGAGGATTCTTGAGGACAGGAGTTCAGACCAGCCTGGGTAACATAGCAAGACCCTGTCCCTACGAAAAATTTTTTAAAAACTAGCCCAGCACAGGCTGGGCGTGGTGGCTCACGCCTGTAATCCTAGCATTCTGGGAGGCCGTGGTGGGAGGATCGCTTGAGCTCAGGAGTTCGAGACCAGCTCTGAGCAAGAGCGAGACCTTGTCTCTACTAAAAATAGAAAAAATTAGCAAGTCAACTAAAAATAAAAAATTAGCCGGGTGTGGTGGCGAGTGCCAGTAGTCCCAGCTGCTCGGGAGGCTGAGGCAGGAGGATCCCTTGAGCCCAGGAGTTTGAGGTTGCTGTGAGCTAGGCTGATGCCATGGCGCTCACTCTAGCCCGGGCAACAAAAGCGAGACTCTGTCTCAAAAAAAAAAAAAGCCCAGCATAGTGGTGCCTGCCCATAGTTCTAGCTACTTAGAGGGCCAAGGTGGGAGGATCACTTGAGCGCAGGAGTTTGAGGTTGCAGTGAGCTATGATCACATTACTGCACTCTGTGTGACAGAACAGCCTGTGTGACAGAACAAGACCCTGTCTCTAGAAAAATTCTTTTTTAAAAAAAATGAACTTTAGGCCAGGTGCAGTGGCTCACACCTGTAATCCAAACAGCCTGGGAGGTCGAGGCAGGAGGATTGCTTGAACTCAGGAGTTCGAGACCAATCTGAGCAAGAGCGAGACGCCATCTCTACTAAAAATAGAAAAAATCAGCCAGGTATAGTGATGTCGGTCTGTATTTCTAGCTTCTCAGGAGGCTGAGGCAGGAGGATCGCTTGAGTCCAGGAGTTTGAGGTTGCAGTGAGCTAGGCTGATGCCACAGCACTCTAGCCTGGGCAACAGAGGGAGACTCTGTCTCAAAAAAAAAAAAAATGAACTTTAGCTAGTAATATGCATGTTGAAGGGATTGATGGATGGAGAGAGGGATGGATAAATAGATGTGATAAAGCAGATAAAGTAAAATGTTAATTATAACATCTAGTGGGTGGGTATATGGGAGGGTTCACTGTACAATTCTATTTTTCTAAATGTTTGAATTTTTCATAATATTGGGGGGAAATCTCAAGTAAAAATTCACACCCTTCTTAGATTCTGTGAGTTCAGCCTGCAGTCTTCTGAAGTCTGAACACTACAGCAATTGCATTGCTGATTTTTCTAGGTGACCTCAGGCGAGTTACTTAACTGTTGTTTTTTTCTGTTTTGAAACAGAGTGTCGCTCTGTCTCCAGGGCTGGAGTGCAGTAGGAGATCATAGCTCACTACAACCTCAAATTCCCTGGCTCAAGCAATCCTCCTGTCTCAGTCTCTCTAGTAGCTAGGACTACAGGTGAGTGTCACCACACCCAGCTAATTAAAAAAAATTTTTTTGTATAGAAGAGGTCTCACCATGTTGCTCAGGCTGGTCTTGGACTCCTGGCCTCAAGTAATCCTCCCACCTTAGCCTCGCAAAGTGCTGGGACTTACAAGTGAGAGCCACTGTGCCCAGCAAACTTCTTTGTTTTCATCCGTAGAACAGTTGTTTGGTTTAAATAAGATATTAAATGTGAAATTCAAATGTAATAATGTGAAAGTACTTCAAAAAGCATAAAGCCCTCTAAAAATGCAATGTATTACTATTAGGAAGGATGAGTGTTTGACCAGTTATATAGCATGGCTCTAGGTGTTCTTGACAACCCGCTGTAAAGACATTAGCACTGTTTTACCCTCTTACAGTTGGAAGTACAAAACACTTAACCATTTTCTTAAAAATGTCTGTCAAATATTTCTCAAATAATTGTGAAAGACTTAGATTTCTGTTCTGATTTCTAAGAGGAATGGATCATCCTGTCTTTGTATAACTGTAATATTTTTTCTTGTTTTACTTATAGGCTGCCAAGATCTCCGGTTAGGGCAGTGGGAATCTTCTTTGACTGTGGAACACTAGGCAGGAGCTTTGCCATTGGATGGTCAAGAAGGAGGCAGCAGAATGTCTGCATTGTTACACCACAGTGTTCAGACTGCAGAAGACTGCAGGCTGAGCAGTATCATTTACTCTGCAAGTGATTATGTCTTCACCTGTGCTCTCTGATCATCAGAAACTAACGAAACACCTTTTAGGTCTTATGAATTCAGGTAACAGTGTTTTCCAGATGCCCTGGCTGCTGGTACAGGTAGGATTTTGCTGGGTTTTGTGGGGAATGGTAGAAGGTAAGGAACTCATCTTTCCTGTTTTCCAGTCCTTGCTAAATTTAAACATCTATGCACATAAAGATAGGTTAACTAACCTCAGCTGTTGTATAGAACAGGATTAAACCTGAAGAAATGCCTTTCTTGTTACGCTAGGATTTTTTAAAATACAGAGAGATATGGGAGGCAAAATTTCCTTCACTTTTATTTTGTTTGAGCGTTTAAATTTATGTTGCTTTGTGGTACAGTTTAAAAATGGTGGATAGCTTCTTTACATTTCACTTTCTGTACTGAATATTGTAAGTGATTTGAACTTTGTATATGTGTTTGAATGTCTACTCATGCTGATGAGCTTATTGCCTGTTGTAGGGCCTGTGAAAAATGGAATCAAACTCTCTGAGGACTAAAGTCCCAGCTTTCTTATCTGACTTGGGGAAGGCCACATTGAGGGGAATCAGAAAGTGTCCCCGATGCGGCACATACAATGGAACCCGGGGACTGAGCTGTAAGAACAAGACGTGTGGAACCATATTCCGATATGGTGCACGGAAGCAGCCTAGTGTTGAAGCTGTCAAAATCATCACAGGCTCCGATCTGCAGGTCTACTCAGTGCGGCAAAGAGACCGGGGCCCTGATTACCGATGCTTTGTGGAGTTGGGCGTTTCGGAGACAGCAATCCAGACAGTGGATGGGACCATCATCACTCAGCTGAGCTCTGGGCGGTGCTATGTCCCCTCATGCCTGAAGGCTGCCACCCAAGGTGTTGTGGAAAACCAATGCCAGCACATCAAGCTGGCGGTGAACTGCCAGGCAGAGGCCACGCCTCTGACCTTGAAGAGCTCAGTCCTAAATGCAATGCAGGCTTCCCCAGAAACCAAACAGACCATCTGGCAGTTGGCCACGGAACCTACAGGTCCCCTGGTACAGAGGATTACTAAAAACATCTTGGTGGTGAAATGCAAGGCAAGCCAGAAGCATAGTTTGGGGTATTTGCATACATCTTTTGTGCAGAAAATCAGTGCCAAAAGCTTGCCTGAGCGCCGCTTCTTCTGCTCCTGCCAGACTCTGAAATCGCACAAGTTGAATGCCTCCAAGGACGAGGCAGCCCAGAGATGCATTCATTTCTTTGCTTGCATCTGTGCCTTTGCCAGTGATGAGACATTGGCTCAGGAATTCTCAGACTTCCTAAATTTTGATTCCAACGGTAGGTGGTGTGGTTGACACAGTTACTCTGTTTTTGTAAAATGGCAATGAAAGAGTTCCACTGATGCATTTGGAGATTGTCCTAGCAACCATCAGAAGCAGTTGCTGGATAATTCATGTGAAAAGCATTCCTTTTTTCAATCCCAGTTAGCACATTTGCATAAAGGTTGGTTGGTTGGTTGAAATTCATGACCAAGAGAAATGGCCACTTTATTGAGATAATCTAGCAAAGTTAGCTAGCTCTACTTTGATTTTTTGTTTTTTACTATTCCACAGATGCCCTATGTTAATAAAAACAAGAATGAACAAAAAAATTATTTTATTCTGGCTTGCTTACTTGTTTCTTATCTTTGGAGATGAGGAAAACTAGCATCTTGCTCAAAAGAAGACTTTTAGAAGTTTTTCACCAAATCTTTTGTTGTTGACATTTTTTTATCTTGTAGACACTTTTTATTTGTCAGTGATCCTTAGCTGGCAGCAGCTCCCAACTTTTTTGTTTTACATTACTCTGCACATCCTTTTATCAAGTTAATTATCTATGAACAAAAGCACATGTTTTAGAGAGTTTTTTAAAATAACTTTTTTTTTTTTTTAAGAGACATGGCCTTGGCCAGGCACGGTGACTCACGCCTGTAATCCTAGCACTCTGGGAGGCCGAGGCAGGAGGATGGCTTGAGGCCAGGAGTTCGAGACTAGCCTGAGCAAGAGCAAGACCCCCATCTCTACTAAAAATAGAAAAAATTAGCTGGGTGTGGTGGCACATGCCTGAAGTCCCAGGTACTTGGGAGGCTGAAACAGGAGGATCACTTGAGCCCAGGAGTTTGAGGTTGCTGTGAGCTAGGCTGACACCATGGCACTCTAGCCTGGGCA